TATTTTTGGCTATAGCCCCAATTTTTGTATGGCCAGAATGCTGAGTGTTTGTACAAGAACGCTTGCTACTAACGTTTGGTATGCAATAGCTTGCCAGCAGGCTCACACTGGAGCACAACACAAGCCCACGCGGTGTAACCACAAGCACGAAATCGAGTGGCGAAGCTGTGAGACGAGAAAGTGAGCCTGCCCTGATCTCCGCAAAATTTTTCATTTCCACCGCGGAGACTGCAGAAAAAATAAGCCAACTATGTTTCACTGGAAGTATGAACTTTGGCAGCTAGATTTCCCAGGAAAATTGTAAATCTTTTTCATAACAACATGCAGAGGCGATATCCGTTGTTGATAAAGTTTTGCCGTAGAAAAACGTTAATATAACTAGCAAGGACACACACTTCATTCCAAGTGATCTTGTTTTGGCAGTGCAGTCTTTGATGACGCTGGTAAACGGGCAAACGCCTTCGTTTTGTTTCATTGCCCACTTGCAATCACATACGGTTGTAATATTTAACTCTTCCCATATGCAGTTGGCAACACAACAAGTACGTCTTGATTCATTAACATATACTCTCAACTGCTATTTCCTGCTCCCTTTTTAGTTTAAATTTTAACCAGAAATAGACTGGAACTTTGTTAAAACATCAGTAACATGCGCACTCAACTCTTCCTCTAACTCCAAATGTGGACAACTTATTTTTTTATTGTGAGAACATGCGGTAAATTACCCACTCCATGGGGATCTAATCATTCCTCATAATAGATTGACAGTTTTCTTGCCTTTCCCGCTTTTCGGGCCAATGGTATTTCACTTCGCTCAGGCGAAGCAGAAATGAAAAAATTACAGAGGTCAAGGCAGGCTCACTTTCTTGGCGCCTCTTCACTAGACTCCTTTCCACTGGATCGCTTTGCTCTCTGCTAGCGCGTGTGACTCCAAGGTGAGCCTGCTCGCAGGCTAGGTACGCAAGCTACCTAACCATCAAGCATCACGCTCCTTGTTTCAAGCTCTTCAGCGGCGAAGTGTGACATCACCTGTCATGATCAACAACGCATAGAAACAAGGCAAGGAATACAGTTTGTTTCAGTTCTTGAATTTCAAATGACTTACATCAATGAGAATTGAATCAGGGAAAGGCCTTTCCATTCAGAAGTAGGCTCTAAGAGCTGTTTGATCCTATATTCTCTGGCTTGTAATCTGTATTCAGTGTGTCTCGGATTCCTATTAATATACTCGATTGCTGGCGGCTCCCTCTACTATTTATTGTATTATTTTTCTCCTTTGCTTATTATAGGAATGTTTTCTATTTGGCTGAGGGAAGAATAAAACTCATGTTTTTCGCAGTGTGAAATGGACTTTGTTGAGGTTCGGTTGGATGATAAGTCAATAATGATTGCAATCATGATATTTTGGCAAGATTTTGATTTAGGCAAAAAAAGTCAACTTGTGAAATGGCCATTCAATTGTTGGTGTACAGTCGGCCAGCCTGTAATCATTTACAAATGTCCGACTTTTACTTGAATTGAATGTGAATGAAAATAATCGTAGTCATAGATTCTCTGTTATATCAGCTTGTGGTGGTGTTGTTTGAATCTCCCCTCTCTTGCCGGCGTCGACTAAACCAGGACCGGACCGGACCGGACCGGAACACGGATCGGATCACGGACCGGATCACGGACCGGATCACGGACCGGATCACGGACCGGATCACGGATTGGATCACGGATCGGATCAAAGAAAAAAAAACCTTTTAAAGAAAAAAAAATCAAATCGTTTACAAGTTAATAAAAAATAAAAAATAAAAGTGGAAAACTAAAATATGTTAAATAAAAATAAGAATCCCGAATTTGACGCAATGACATGTTAATTACAGAGAATGACAAGAGGTCATTTAAAAAGCCACATAAGCGCCTAATTTACGACGAATTTAAATTGTAATGACCAGGCAGATGTAGTTATATTTGAACGTTAGTTGGCTTGAAGCTTGCGTGAACCTCCAATTCTCGTTTTTGAAATTGTTGTTATTATCAGTAGCTAATTCTTGGCTACTTTTTCGTGTCAGATGTGAGCGTTACAGTTAGCGTTAGAGTTAATGAGAAAGTTTACGTACGAAACCTTAAGGACATGACTTGCTTTAAAGGAGCTACGTCACGATTTGCGCATCTTGAAAAAACTAGCCTAGTTTTTCAAGTTCTTCATTTGCAGTCCTCGTTAATCTTTGCCATCCTTAACGATCCTCATTCCGTTTTGATTTGTTGTTGCCTCTTAAGTGCTTTCTATCCTAGAACATGACCATTTTAAGGTTTTATTCCACATAAAGGCAATTCTTTACGACCCTAAAAATGACTTTAAAAATCGTGACGTAACTCCTAAAATGTCGTTTATTCTCGGTTGCGTTATCGTTTACACTATCGATGTTATTCCTATATTTTTTTGTAAAACAGCTATATTTCCTTGAAATACAAATGGTCTGTTTCGTTTTATTCCAGTACGAAATATCGTATTCCAAACTCACATCTTGTAAAAGTATAGACTTGTCTTAGAAACGGAAATTGTTTAAAATCATCAGGTGTTTAGTTTTTAGTGTTTTTAGTTTTTGTGTTTCGATTCATACGTTCCTCCTATTATTACCATGCTGACTTGTTTTATGACAGTTTACCTTTGATGCAAGCGAATATACAAAATATCATTTCTCTGAACTGCGGAGAAAGATATGAAGACATGTTTGATCATCGCAATGAAAACCCAACAGCCTGAAAAAAATTAATCTGTGACCAGCTCCCAGTTGGCTTGATATTATAAAAGAATAAAGGAATATCACACCTGAATTAAATAAAACGTTCTGCTC